ACCATGTGAGTTTAAGCCAGGTCTGAGTTGAAACCTTCAAAAGCAGTGTGGCGTCTTGCAACCACTGCACACTTTAATGTAAGTGGGGAAAAAAATACATAAAATAATCATATTTGACAACTTGTATTCTACATCTTCATGCAGAGCTCTGCAGAAGTTTCCAAACTACTACTCGCCTTTAAAACTGGACACCTTTTGTGGGTTTCGTGGCAGCTGTCCAGTGTCCTGGCATTGCTGAACAACCACTACCCTGAGTGCCTGCATGCCAGTCTTGGCCGGTGCTTTAACAGCTTAAGGTCAAAGAGGGGAATTAAAGGTCAGGCTAAGATTAGACTCTGGCTCGCAGGCCAGCTCTTGAGCCAAGTTATATCGAGTACTGTAAGTGCAACCTCAATCAGATCACATGTTCCTTCTGTTTTACAACAGCAATACATTTTCATGAAGAAAAAGTATTTTTAAGGTTTCAGCATTGAAACCTAACATGAGTCAGGATTTTTATGCTGTGGCAGCATTTCCATTTTACCTAACTGTTCTTAAATGTGTTGCAAATAGTACAAAATTAAATGTACATCCCTGCAAAATGAGCTAAAACATTATTTCTACACATATTAGGGACAATGTCTGGATTGCAACATTGTGAGATAACAAATAGGTGTCTGCAGACTGTCCTCTAGTGACATCTTGTGTTGTGGTAGAAAACCCCACAAAGTTTTCTTTATTGTAACTTTGAGGTTTAAAGGCTGCATGTAGAAATTAAATGATTCCATCTTTCAAACCTTTAAGACCAAGTATTCCTACTGCTTAATCTTTTTGGCATTTTGTCATGTTACAACCACAAAACACAAAATTACCAATGAAACATAAAAAGGGTATCATGCATTTCTAATTCTGGTTCCCATTACTATGGAACCCCAAAACAGAATCCACAATTCATAAATAAGCACAACAAAATAGTTCAGATGTTTAATCTCTGCATTAATCCAGATGATCTATGAAGGCCTGAGGGGTTTGTTGGTGAACAAACAATAACATGGAAACAGAGGAACACAGCAGACAGATCAGAGAGAAAGATGCTGACATGTTTAGAGTTAGATCACAAAGCAAAATCCCAAGCACTGTTCAATCCATCATGTTCAATCCAAAACTGACATGATGAAGAAATCAGGTTTTTTGTTTGCCATAAAACTAGTCACAGGAAACATGTGGAAGAAGCTGATCGGTACAAATCAGATCAAAATTCAACTTTTTAGCCAACATGCAAAGAAACATTTTCATTGCAGTGCAACCAGAACTGCAATGAAAATGTTTAACTTAAAGCATATTTATGTGCAAGAACTTCCCAGTGGCAAAACAATACTACTGAGAATCTGTTACCCTCAGCTGTAATTGCAGCAAAAGGTGGTGCTACAAACGTCCCTCTGGTGGGCCTAATTCAAACGCGCACCACATTTTTTAATATTTGTTTTAATAAAAAAATCTTATGTGTTGGTCTAAGATCTCTGTAAAACACATACAGTTTGTGGCTTCAATGCACAAAATGTGAAAAGGTTTCTTCTTCTTTTTTCGGCTACTCCAGTTAAGGGTGGTCACAGCAGATGACTTACAGATGATTTAGTATCAGCATGAAAGACAAGTACCCAAAATTATCTGATGAAGTCAGTTTCTTCTTTTACTTTGTTTTGTAACCTTTAAGTAATTAAAAAGCATGACTTTCTTCTATAAAAAGGTGAAAATGTCAAGTTATGTTGAAATAACGTCTTTGTTCTGCATATACAAAATAACTCAGTTTTGAGCAACTGGACCTGCTGTCAACAAATCCAGAAAACTAGACACTTACGCTTCATAGCTTGTCCTTTTATCAGTTAACACGAAAAAAGCAAAAAGTTTGAAGTATCCGTCAAACTTCATCCCAATCATTTGGAAACTCTACATTTGTGATTTGGACATAGGGATGTGTTTAACTTTAACTGATGACTCATTACAGTCATATTCATGCTGCCATGGCTGCAGATCATAGCATCATCACTCCAGACTTGGATGGCTCTTGTTTACTATGTTTTGCTGCAGGCAAAGTGTGGGCATCCACTTTCCCTGCCAGCTGATAATGGATTTTATTTTCTCTCATTTTGCACACAAGACTTCTTTTCAGATGTGGGCACTAATGTTCTTCCAGGCTGCCTTCCTGCATGGATTTTGAGATACCCCTAAAAACACAAAAACACACCAAAACCAAACAGGGGAATCATCTTGGAATTTAAGTTCTTTGTGTTAATGGCTAGATAACTTTTCATTGACAATAGACCTTTTTCACGGAAACCAGAAGCTGTATCTGATAGGGCTGGGCACTTCCTGTTTTGGTGACTGTAATTCAAGTACTCTGAAAATGGCTCTCCTCCTCCGGTCCATTTCATAGTCCTTACTTAATTTGCCAGCCCTTTCTTTCGCTGCTGTGGAGGAAATCACAGCGGCTAATTCATCCACCAACCAACGTCCAGAACACACATTCAGATGGAAATTTGGTGTAGAACCAGATCTGGTCATCAGAGGCACAGTAGCGGCTAAAAAGTGTGGCAGACAAATCCACTTTTTGAAGTCTGGCCTCCAACTCCTTGATATAATCCAGAGCTTCATCAAGTGCTCCTGTAAAACCACAAAATAAAATAGCAAAACATACAGTTAGCAATAAGTTTTAATTATATATTTGAAACATTACTTCTGGGAAGATCAATACATGTTGTGAGTCGGAGCATGCATGTATACAGCCATTGACTTAATCTTTCCACAAAATACATAACCACATAATCTCATAATTATTATGTGATCATAATAATAATAATATTAATATAATAACAGTTATATTTTACTGAAATTATCTTACATGGAAAATATATACAATATACTATCTTTTACCTGCGGGTGTCAGCTTCACGTAGGTGTGTAGTGATGGTCCGCAGTAGCATCTTCAGCCTGTCTAGCTTTCTGAGAGGACAAACTGACGTTTCTTAGTCCTCTCCAAAGCAGACTCTCTCATTGCCGGTGCAGTGAAGTTATTCCAGGCAAACAGGGAAGGAACAGCTCCACTTTTAAGGCGGCTCGTGGTGGATCCGCTAACAAAACCTCTGGTGTGAAGTGGCGGCTACATAGAAAGTCCTCCCCGTCTTTATGCAAAAGTCCGGACCTTCATCTCTTCGATCGCCTGGATCCACTGCCTCCGTTGGTCCGGGTCCGTCGGGAACGCATGATATGACAGATAAGGCTGTTTTCTTGCTCTACATGAACAACCAGGGACTGAACAAAAACAACTGCGCCGAGACTGAGCCATTTTCCTAGCCTTTTAATGCTAACGTTATAGCCACCGGAAGTTGTCCAACCCCACATCCGCTTTCAAACCCGGAAGCGTGAAAAAGGTCTATGGGGGTTCCTCCTATTTAATACTTCTGTTTCTCTAGTTTAGGTTATTGCAAATAATTGAAGTTGCTTTAACTTTGCAGATGATGTAAAGCTCTACATTAAAATGTCAGCAGGTGACTATGAACACATTCAAGCGTTGACAAGATGCATAAAGCAATTAAAGGAAGTGATATGTGAATGTATCTTTATCCATGTGAATAAATAATAACTATCTTCTGACCTAAAGAGAAACAATCAAGAGTTAGCACTCAGCTTTAATTATTACAGCCAGAAACTAGTGATTAGGCCAGAAACATGAAGCTTTGGAGACACATAAGGAAAGTTACAAAGTCGGCCTTCTATCACCCGCAGAGCATTTCCAAAAGTAAAAGACTAATGTTCCACCAGTATCTTGAGAAACTCATTCATGCTTTTATAACAAACTGCAATCAGAAAATTGCAGTTGATCCATAACGACGCAACTCATATTCTCACTAAAAGATAGAGCTTCTAGTTCTGAGAATATACTTTAAAATACGTTAGTTGCTACGTATTGGCTGAGTTGTTGTCGTACTAACCCTCCAGACCACTCAGGTCTTCAGGTTTATGTCTGCTCTGCATCCCCAGAATCAGAACCAAACATGGAAAAACAGCATAAAATTCAATGATCCTCTGTCTGAACAACTGCAAAAATCCTGAAACACTGATGTCCTTTACATCCAACTTTTTACTTCCTCTTTTTTTGACAGTACAATGTAACATTCTTTGTTTGTGTGGTACAAATGAGTCCTCTGTATGTCATCCTGTTTTAGAGGCTTGAGGCAAACAGCAAGCGCATACATGCACCTCTGGGAAAAACTAAGAGACCACTTAAAATGATCAGTTTCTTTGATTTGACTTTTTATAGGTTTATGTTTGAGTAAAAGGAACATTGTTATTTCATTCTATGAACTACTGACAATATGTCTCTGAAAATACAAGCAAAAATTTAGTATTTATTTGCAGAAATGGTCAAAATAACAAAAAAGTGTTTTCAGACCTCAAATGATGCAAAGAAAACAAGTTAATATTCATTTATAAACAGCAATACTCATGTTTTAACACAGGAAAACATTAGTATTCAATGGGGTACAGAGCAGTGCTCTCAATTTTTTTCAGAGCTACACACATATATATATATTTATATATGTATATGTGTGCACTGACTCATATCTGTACTCTACAAGAACATTTGCCTCATATCGCTGTTGGCAGGCTCATATGTAAGCATGTTCTACATGTAGAACCACATCAGCTCCGTCTCCCAGACATGAAATTGTTTTCATTTCCCCCCCACCCCCGTTGGGAACTTAGCTGTGTTGGCAGTGCAATAAAGTGGTTTGGACGTGGCAGCAGGTCCAAGCAGCAGAATGACGGGGGAAGGAGTGAACTTCTTCCAACAGCCACAAGAACATTCAATAAATCATCAAGTTAAAACAAGATGTCATGAGGATGCAAATCTCCACGCTGAAGGAGAAATTGAGATGACAGGTGTCAATAGGGAGTGAACCATGTGGGCTTTGCGAGTGGGCAAGAATTGAATTTCTATGAGCAAGAAAGCAGAACACCCCAAATGTCAAATCCATTTATTCATGCAAATCATAAGTGAACATAAAAATAAACTGCAGATGCTTTACAGGTGCCATCGTCTTTGGATCTCCACGTCTTTGTTACACACAAAAAAGTCAAAACGTGTCTACATTTACTGTGAGGATTTAATGATAACAAAGCTAGGATGTTCTAATACTGGAATGAAGTGTGAGGCATCTGATCTACGCTGGTTCAAACCACACTACACCAAACTACAGAGAAACTACATGTAAACATCCTGTTTCTGCAGGTGAATGCCTGTGTGTGAGTGTATCTAAGAAGGATGCGCCCAGTCTCATCTTTTTCTCCTCTCTCCACTAACAGCCAAGTCCGCTCATGGACCCGATCCGGTCCAGTTTCAAGCCAAAGCATCCTTTGTTCCATCCCCTTCGTGACCTTTCTGGTTCTGCTTCCCTCTGCATGGCCAGCGCCCCCTTCAGCAGCCGGAGCCAGGGGGTCTCCGGCTGTGTCTGGACGTCAGCCCACTTAGGGTACTCAGCTGCTTTGACCCCAGAGGAGGAGGAGGCAGCGGCGGCAGCAGTGGACTGATCCTCCGGCTGGCTATTCAACATGTTGTCCAGGTCGTCCAGGGTCAGGAGGTCATTGTAGCGCTCCAGAAACTGCTCCAGAAACTACACAGAGGGAAGGGAAAGAAAGAAAATCTAATTTTCAGGGCGTGCACAAGGGGGAATAATTCAATCACATTTCATTTTCCTCCGCTGCTCCACTCTGTATTCTCCTCAGTCCACCTGTTTTCCCAGCCGGCGTACCTGCGCAGCATCAGGAGCAGGATGGAGAGCGCGAGCCTCTGTCACCTCAAAGGGAGTCAGGAGGAGCAGAGCGGCACACAGCAGCACGGGGTGCAGCATGGCAGCGGGAATAACGGCAGCAGAGACGAGGACCGGAAAACGTGCTGCTTGCTGCAGAGATCTGAACGCTGAGAAAAATATGAAGAAAATATGAAATTCATGAATTTCAAAAACAAACATCGTTTTTAATCAAGATATCACGTTTTCTGTGTACTTTGAGACAAACATAGAGTCATGCATGTAGTGTATGTGACATAAACATAAACAGGCTGCCTCTGGCTGAGGAATTTAAGATTGCATTTAGTCCAAAAAAACAGAGGCATCCAATATAATTTTTTGTGTGTATGTTTATTTTAGAGATGTAATCTTTGGAATAAAACAAATGCTTTACTGCATTTACATATAAACTAAAATTTTAGCCAATTAAATCTACAGCTGTGGCCAGGTTTAATTAAAAACATTTTTTAAAATTCAAATAGAAACCAGCTGTCAAGAAGTAGTAAAAAAAAAATAGGTGACCTTATTAAATTGATTATGTTTTTATTCCAGGTTAAACATAACTAAGTGATTTAAATAAAATAATTTAATGGTGTGATTTAAATTAACTTTAGCTGATATGATGTATCCAGAAATATTCTGTGGTCATTCAAAATGCATCTTTATTTTGTCTGTGGATTTACTTTTTTAATGACTTTGTTTTTTCTAACTTAACATATCTGTGCTCAGACTCATTTCGTTGAGTTTTCATAAACATAATCCCAACTAAGAAGATATAAACTGCAATCAGAGTGAAAATGAAAGGATGAAAGTAGAAAAGCTCACCTGATGTTTGTTTTCTCTCGGAGCGCTGGCTGGGTGTCTTCTCCTCTCACAGACTCTTCTCCATTCCCACCTTCTCGGACTCTCAGCTCCTCTCACTTGTTGGCACCTGCTGGGAGCATCAGTTTCTCACTCGGCTGGCTCCACCTCCTCCTCGCTTCCACGCTCTGATGGAATTGGGAGGGCGATGCTAATGATGAGAATGATGATGATTGTCTTGCTCTTGCGTCTGTCTCCTGGATGTTGGGGCTTCAGCTGGGATGCTGCAGAGTTTTTGTAGAGCCAGAGATGCCTCCCCCTCTCCCCCCACCTCCCTTTCATCTTCCTCCGCCTCATCTTCTTTTCTTTGGAGTGATGTCATAGCCTTGTTGGAGGGATTGATTGTCATTGCCAAGGTGACTGAATGTGTGGTCAGCGCTCTGCAAACCAAACTTCTGCCAGAGTGCTGTACAAGCCGAGGTCAGAGGCCAGCAGGCGGCTTTGGCCTCATCACTGTGACCTGTTTACGATCAGGTAACTGGCAGGGAGAGGCTTCACGCAGTCCAGTCACGACTTATCCTGAATTTTACATTTCTCATGCACTAACAGCCCTCTGAGCATATTAGCATCCTTCTTTCCCTTTGTCTCTGTAGTGTTTCCCAGCGTGCGCTGACCTCCCCCTCTCTGCCGGGTAACTTACAGTCTGCCAGTGCCATCTGGTCCTTGTACCCCCTGCTGCTAAATTACAACATTACCACAAGCGGCTGCAGGATCCAACACACCGACCTTAAAGTTCAGCAGCCTGTGATTATTACAAGTAAATAAACCTCATTCTTCATCGTCGCCCAAAGCCGGGCGAGCAATCAGACGCATCCGCGCTGATTGCCTCATTTGTTGCAAAGTCCACTGTCACTTTCATTTGCACTCTCAACCCAAATTGTCCTCAGATAAACACACCGTTACCCCCGCTGTTGTGAGCGTCTTTACATAATGTTTCAGAAAAATGCGCCCCTCTCATCTTTTTTGGAGAGGACACTGTGTGGGAGGCGGCGTAGGAGAACAGCGAGAGAAAGAGATTAGTGATGATGGTGGGGTTTGAACTACAGCAGTATATGATGTCAGTGGAGCGCTGGAGGAAAAGTAGGCAGCAGAGTAGGAGGAGGAAAGGAGAGAGAGAGAGAGGGAAAAAACACACCAGGCTGAGAGCTGAGGGAGATCAACAAAAGAGATTGATTACAGGAGGACAGAAATGGACAGAAAGACAATGAGAAGTTTATCAGAGAAAATGAAAAACATTTTAAATGACATTTAAAGTACATCACTACTGAGGAATACAGGGAGAATTGATCTCTTCAGTTAAAGAATCAACTTTGATTTTCACAGAACTGTGAAAAGTATTTCCTCCCTCTTAACAAATTTCTTCTGTTTCACTTTCGTATGGAGTTAATTTCCTGTCAAAACGTTGCAAAGAAGTAAAACATGTTTCAGAAACTGTCCGCAAACACTGACGACTAAAACCTGCTGCAAAGAAATAAAACATGTTTCAAATACAAAATAATCTTTACAAACAGTTCTCTAGTACAGAATTAACTCTTCTTGCATACGTTGAACTTGTGAATGAAAAACTGAAAAGTCAAATTAACCAGGCCCTTCAGAGTACAATTTAAAATAAATAAAAATCAGAGGTGAATTTTCTGGGTTGCTGTGGATTATTCCCCTATTAGAGGCTTCAGGATTTCCTGATAGATTTAATAGTTCCAACAACAGCAATTCACCCCAGTACTAAGGAAACAAAGCAGCTCCATATCACCACACCACCATCACCATGCTTAACTGGTGGTATGGTTTTGTTTCCAGAAGACGTGTTCCTTCAAAATAGTTTCATTTCCCCTCATCAAAAAATCCATCTCCAAACACATATGGGATCATCTAGAGGTTTCTTGGCTATTGAGAACCTTTCAAATATTTTGGTCAGCACTAGTTTTGGTATTGAAATGCTCTGAAAAGTGCAATTTTACTTTGTCTCTATGTGTCTCATATTTTGTGAAGCAAAGTGATGCAAGCCTGGTTTTATGTTATTCTAGGGTCTTTGTGACCTCCTTGATGAGTCAGCATTGCTTTTTAGGAGTAAATTTGTAGGCCAGATGTTCCTGTGAATGTCCCAATATCCTAGGAAATGGCTTTGCAGCTCTTTCCAAACTAATAGATATCTTGTTTGATGTTTAATTTCTTTAGACGTTTTCTTGGATTTTTTTTCAGCCATGAAAACGTCAAGAATACAAACATTTAGATGAGGTTCAGGAGGAAAAAGGTGTTTTTTTTTTTTACAGAACTTTATGTAATTGGGGATTAAAAAAAATGTAATGAATAGGCATAAAAATGCACAATGCTGTCTGGACAAGCTGCGACAACCCCTGAAACAGCCTGTCCAAACACACAAAACAAGCAGACATTCACAGCTGCTTCAAACAGCACTATAAATTAAGATGACTTCACCTCGCAGACAATACTTTTGTGTCTAGAGAAGTTATAATGGCAGCTAGATTCTCACCAACATGTTAAACATGCAACAGTTTCATGGTTCTTACACAGAAATCTAAATCATCCACTGCAATTCTATTACCTCAAATACCTCATATTCATTTAACATTTCAATGCATTCTAGAGTAAAGTTCAACCCACTGATATCAAGTTATTGTGACAGCCTGCTGTATTAGTGTCAATGCTGATAGTAGTTGTGCTCTTTCAGCCACCTAATGTGCAGTGTGCAGCAACAGGTAGGAAAGGAGCTGCACTTTATTTGTACAGCTGGCAAAAAACTCCCACACCTGAACGGTCTGGTGGAAAATGAGGTGGTTTTAAAGCTCCAACTTTATGAATTTGTGGAACCAATGACCAGACAAAACCAATAATTGAGTCAAAGCCAATTATTGAAGTATTACTGATCGATTCATCTAGCTGGACATATAGGTTTGAAAAAATAAAAGTTAAATACTACAGCTTTGACACTTGAAATCTGTCTTTATATTGTGTAAAAGATGTGAGTGAGACAATGAACAACAGAAATTAAAACAAGACCCAGGTTTATTAAAAAGGATTTCTAATCTGTCATTAGCTGCATCATCAGACTACAAAAGCTTAAAGATAGGCAGTAAAGTGGATAAAACAAATATACAAAGAGTTAAAATTAAATCGCTGATTATAAAATATTAAGAAGGCAGTAAAAAAAAAAAAAAAACAGAAAGGAAATCAGTTTCTGAGGCGAGTTCGGCGTGATGTGCGGGAGATTGGCGTCGTCACTTTGGGGGTCTCACTCTCTGCCATGACAGCATCTGAAGGAAGATAAAAGCTGAGTGAAATATTTCTGCAGAGTATTTAGTCTTGGGTGGAAATGCATTTTTTTAATTGATTTTTTAAGACATTTTTATGAAATCACATCAAGTTGATTATATAAATAGAAATAAAAAGTAAGATGGTTGCAGACAAATTCAAATTCCTCCCATAAAAAGAAAAAAAAACAAACTCCCACCGGATAAAATCTGAAAAAGTCACAAAGCAATAATTCAAATACAATCATTTAACATAATGATTGTATTTAATCAAAAACTTCACAAGAAATTATTCCCAAATTAAAAAGTACTGAACAGATCAACCTTCTGAGAACGTTTATACCCACATAAAAGGTTCTGAGCGAATTTGCAGTAGATTTTATGCTACCATTATCAGCATGTTTACAGGAATTATTTATTATATATGTCAGATTTTACCGTCAAGGTCTGCTCTGCCTGTAGATCTTGGACTACTTCTTAGCTAATAATAAAAAAGAAGAATCCTGTCCACTCATAAACCTTCAACACTGGTGTTTGTTGCATTTGGTCCAGTAAGTCTGAACTCAGTTGTTTTGACCTGAAGGAACTTCTTCTGATAAAATTTTATTCACAGCACCAATTATAAAAATACAGTAAACAAAGAACTTTGTTGGGCAATTAAATGAACACAAAAGCTTCGCTAATGAGGCGCCAAAGGAAGTCACAATATTGAATTAGCTTATTCAATAAACAAAAAGTTTTTTGGCATCTAATTTGGACAAAATTATTTAACATTTATAATATTTAATGGTCAATACAATAAGACTAATATATTAAATCAATAACTGAAAAACAAAATCACTCATGTGAAAGTAAAACAAAGAAAAAAAGAAAAAAAATTGCCAATATAGATTTTTTTTTAATTACACAAACTGAAAATATTCTAAAACAAATAAATCCTGGCAGTCTCACCATCCTCATCCTCCTCTTCGTCGCTGCTGAAGGTGATCACTGGTTTCTTTGACTTGCGTGATTTTTGAGGAGTTACAAAACTGTCATCGCCGTGGCTGGAGACCAACGACTTTGTTTGACCTGTAGGGAGGAAACATATTTCCTTAGTCACAGTCAGTTTTTTAAATATAAATTTTTTTAGTTTAGGAAACGGAGTAAAAGCTGTGACTTCAGACCTCTCCTTTTCTGACGGCCTCTGGTGGGTAGCAGTGTGCGACTGCTGGTCTTTTCTGCAGTTCCTTCTTCCCCTTGGTTCTCTTCCATCTCAGGACTTTCTACGTTCTCCAAGCCCCGGGTGTGAACCGCTGTCAGCCGCTTCTCAAAGTCATCTATCTGGGCCTGATTGAGATATTTATGATTACTACAAGAATAAAAATAAATCGAAAGTTACATATGTAACTACGGTTCTATGAATCCCGGATGACCGCCAGAGGGCGGTGCTGAAAGCACTGAATGTTCCCTTCGCGCATGCGCCGTTCGAGTAATAATGCCAAAAGAGTCACACCTGTGACATATCGGATGATCAATCAGAGGCTATATAGCATGACGTCATCCGATGCTCTGTTCCTACAGAATCTTCTCGCGAAATGCAAGGATTCTGAGTGACAGAGAAGCTCTGGCGGTCATCCGGGATTCATAGAACCGTAGTTACATATGTAACTTTCGTTCTATTTCATCCTACTGACCGCCAGAGGGCGGTGCTGAAAGCACTGAATGACGAATACCAGCGATGTCACAAGGAATCCGAGCACGCACCTCACTGAGAAGGCCCAGAAGACCCTTGCAAGAGAACCTGGTCCAGAGGATGAGAGGATGCCACATTCACGTTGTAAAACCTAGTGAATGTGCTCGGAGAAGCCCACGACGCAGCAGCACATATAGCTTCCAGTGGAACTCCTCTCAAGGCGGCCCAGGAGGTGGAAACGCTCCTGGTAGAGTGCGCCGTCACGCCGACTGGCTGGGGA